ATATCCATTATCCATAGACACTCTTTGAAGCCTCCGACATGTAAGATTCTCAGAAACAACATTTTAAAAAAAAGAATTAACTGGCTCTTTTCATACCTCTGTTCGTTGAGTTGTCTGGTCAAAAGGGGAAAACAAAGCTTTTTCTGTTAATATCGTTTCGAAACACATTTCAGAAGATAAATGAAACCTTCCGCATCAAAGGGTACGGATGGAATCTTTATGTATCTACTCGAGGTATGATATATGAAGAACATGTCTTTGGATATGATATTCGCGACAGCAACTGTTGAAGATGTATGATCTGCACACGTTCCTGGACAGAAGTTATTTCATAAATTTTGTCTGATCTTTTTTTCGTACTAACTGACAAGATATATAATCCTATTGTCTAGTATTCCAGGCATATTTCATCGGATTTTTTTTCTTTCGTGAACACATCGACACTTATTTTATACATGCTGTCTGAACTTTTTCCGTACTAGCTGATGAGATATATAAGCCTGTAGTCTAGTATTCCAGGCATATTTCAACGGATTTTCTTCTTTCCTGAACATATCGACGGATTCTAATAATTGCCTAAAAAACGGGAAACTATCTTCAGGTTTTCCAGATATATGCCTAGTTAGGTGCATCTAAAGTTTAGTTGGTGAATCTTTTAGGCCTGATATATATATATATATATATCCTTGTAGGTAATTCTTCATACCGACCTTGACATATGGTAGTATAACTAATGGAATGATGTGATGTTCTCTGAACTCTATAATGTAAGTTCTCAGAACTCTATAATAAAAGAGGTAAAAGCAATACTCCCTTGGGGTAAAGTAACAAATTAAACAAGACCTACCCATATACATATATCATATACCATTACATCTCACTCATAGCTTCAGGACGTATGGTATTAAAAATCTTCTGTTGCAGTACCAAAGACAGACCCAGGGGGCCAATTATAACCTCACCATTACTCTGTCAAGAACTATCTCACAATGAAGCCATATTGCATTAGTAGCTTCCTGGAAAACGTTATGCTTCACTTCAGTTGGGGATGGAAAATTAAGAAGAAGGGAGGTTTTTACAGATATGAAGCCTGACAAATGTAAATTGACATTTTCAGATACACGAAAGGATTTTGTCCTGTATCATCTTTGCTCATCATCATTCGTTGTGTATTCTGCCAATACCCACCCACTGGGGCGGCGTTTTTGGACCCTTTCTAGCCAATGGATACTGCCTGGCCAATGTGATACTGCCTTATGCCACCCTAGGATCTGCTTGGAGGTTAATAATTAGCCATAAAATTAAGCTCTTTCTGATGTCGTAAATGAGGATGGGAGGTAGAATGAGGTAGCCTCTATCAGGCTTTGAGAGGCGACTGAAAAGACTAGAATTTGGCCAAATAGACAGATAACATGCCAGCAAGTTGGTCGGCAAAATATCCAGCGAACCAAATCCCTTATGTTATATCTCTATTTGGCCAAATTCTAGTCTTTCCAGCCGCTTCCCGAAGCCTGGTAGAGGCTAAAAATGTAGTATCAAAGAAATCTCCATAGTACATGTAGGTTACACCATGAAATCTCGTGAATCTGACGTGTGATATTCTTAGAAATCTGATAGACTGATGTATGTCGAAGTGACCCCTCGTTTCTAGCCTGTAGGTTACCCCCAGGGCCGGCTAATAGCATTGCAGGTGACCGGTCATCCGTTTTAGAACGCGCGTACTTTCCACTAGCGCATTAGCAGGTCTCGCTGTAGTCCCGCGAGAGTTGGGTAAATGCATCTCCGTGTCCCCACGGCCAATTTGTCGCACCATTTACGAAGCTAAGTGTCGGAGAGGCCGCACACTTTCTTCTCGTACCAGCAACGTTAAGTTGTAATGAGCGACGATTTTCATGACTGGAGGACTCGGTCACAATCATTTCCGCTTGTTGTTAGATGTGTATTTAGATCACCCGCTGATCTTGTGAAATCTTACTGGTGTTCAAAACGTGATAAGTTTAAATTTGATCACCTTAAAAAGTAAGATAAGTGGCAAAGTATCGTTGTTATGTTCACTGTATTCTTTTAAAAGGAATATCTGTACCTTAAGCAAGTATTCTTACTTCTACTTCTTCTTCTTCTATGCTGTACTGGTCAAAACCCCTCACTGGGGCATCACGACCTGGGTGCTGGGTGCACGGCTAAGTGCGGCCGGTGGGGTGGTGGTGCTGAAAAGAAAACATGAAAACGACAAAGTGCAAAAAAAAGAACCAAAATTGTGCTTAAACTCTATTTACATGGCCGCACTTGGAGTCCTGATTACTTCTGGGGGCAGTGATGGCCCATGAACTGGGCCAGCCCAAGCTTAAAGTTATCTACAGTTGACGCTGTGACAATGTGTGCTGGTAGAGTGTTCCATTCCATCACTGTTCTTGGTATAAAACTTGCTCTTCTTAAGATGGCAATCAGCACCACTGCTAATTTATCTAAAAGACCTCTTACATAATATGCAAACTGTAAGAGCAGAGTTATCAAAATCATATCCAGTAGTTGCTTGAGTGACTGTTTTGGCGTATCTTATTATCTGGATGTCTAACCTTCACCGACATATAAGAGCAGAATATTTGATACTATAATTATTGCTGCATGACTCCAAAGTACATTTGCCATACTCATTATCTGTGAAGTTTGACATCAGAAATATACACTGACGTACATCGTATCCATTTGTTAAATACTTGTCATTTTCGAATTGGTCTTCTATGTGCTTACCAATGAGTCTAAGTTAGGAGGAAAACCAGAAAGGCCAAGGATCTCTACTGTATCATTTTGATTCATAGAAGTGAATCAGAACCATCAGAAAGCGGAAATGACGTGATAGCTATGACAACTTCCTGACCAATGCACGTCATGCTTTTCGATTTTGTAGATTTGCTGACGTTGCTCTGATCACCAAATTAACGAAGTGACGTTTACACCATTGATCTGACGACCTTGTACTTGAAATCACCAAGTAAAGCAGTAAAAGTAGACACCATTCATGATTTTACGTCTTCTAAGTAATCCTGAGGTATCAGAAAAACAAATTGGCTGTCGGATTGTTTTGTAGTGTGGTAAATTCAGGGATTTATAGATTGCATTGCTCGCAAGAAAACTAGTCAAAACGAGTTTACATGAATGTGACTGGAATACATATTCTTTTACAAACGAATCAAAATGGAAATTTCTTAAATCAGCACCAAGGACAGAGCCAGTACTTTAAAATTTTTAAAGTTTAAGAAGCGTTAACTAAAGGAAGAAGCCTGTATACCATCTGAGATATGGGCAATATCCACTCGAAATTATGAGTTTACTGAACGCATTTTGCAAAGTATTTGTGCCGAAGACACGTGGTGACGACAAGCAGTAATATTCTTGAGTTGCACCATTATTTTTACCATTAAGTTTGTAGGGATTTCCTCACAATTCCCGAATACCTTTTCATCTTTCCCTTGTGTCGGTAACAAACTGCGTAGGTGAGTGATCAAGTACATCACATGAGTTTGTGGCTCACCCCAAAAGACAATAATATAAAGTGCTGCTTTTACCGTATATACTTCCAGGAAGCTAGATGTGTTATCACGTCAATGAAACGTTTAATTTTCGCCCCAGCCTTTTAAAAATGATCTGCAAAAACAGCGAACATAGTCCCTGTGTACCTTTTAGATGCTACCAGCTGTGAAATCGGGTCTCTTGCTGATATCAGTATAAATTATTTCTTTATGCCTCTGTTTTGGGTGCTCACCAGACGTCAGAAGTGACTTAGATCTAACTGGCTAACGAATATGCTGGGATTATCATGAAAGTTCATGTGTGTTTGTATGTAAAACTTAAGATCCAACACAAATTTTGCTTTCCTATATCTACTGCTACTGCAAAGAAAAAAAAACTAAAATGGTGAACAAGAAGAATAAGGCAATGTATTGTTATCATTTATTGCTGCCTGGATTACATGTATTAATCAGTTGACGACTTTATACGTTTCCAAATCTCAATTCATATTACTTTCATATAGCAATACTGATATGATCTGGTGGATAGACAAACGGATAACCCAGCAATAATAAAGTGCTACTTGTATCTTTGGTCCCACCAGAATCAATCAAAATCATACAGCGGACCTGTTGAAGTTTGGGGGCTGTTTTCTACATACAAGATCCATTTTCGTGATCGGGTATTAGAGGACGTCTATCTGGGATAGCGACGCCACTTTTTGTGTGTCCCCCAAGGCATCATCCATGGACTACCTGTGCGAGGAAAGCCAAAATGTCAACTTTTAAGCCTCTGCAGTCAATCTCAAGAGACTTCATTACTCTGGCGATAATACCGGAAATCCTGACAACAGAGGGTTCCGTGGATCACGCCATTTCCCTAAAGAGTGCTGCTAGCTTTCAGATTTGTGCCCGGGATGTCAAATGTAAGGAACAAAGGCTGAACATCACAGCAGGAAGGAAAACATCAAAACGCCCTATAGCAAGACAGTTATATTGTATAGTTTTTTTTATGTATATAGCCTGTCACCTAACCCAACTATCAGCGCGAACTCTGTGCATAAAAACACTTTTATTTGTTCACCTTCTTGAGTGTATATGTCAAGTTTGGCAATGCAAAATCCGTACTAGATCGGTAACAAGCAACAGTGAGTATCGTTAGAAATCCTATTAAATGCTTTAAGGCGATGCTTCTTAATGTTCCGGAATAAAGTCTCTCCAATCCATCAAATCAGGAAAGCCGATTACCTGTATTTTTTGTAGGATCCCTGTGGTGACATCCGATTGGGAGGCGTGACATTCGCCCTCCTTTTAGCCTTCATTTCCTCTGGGGTGTCAAATCACGGACTAAACCTTTCCCAAATCCCGCGAGATTTGGATGAACTCTTGACCAATTATGATAATGGTGAGAGGGAGGGGATGATAGGCGTGGTAACCGTGATCTCATGAGCTTCCCGTGATGCGAAGTTGTTCGTCGTTCATCCACGTCACACATCTACGCAAGTCTCTCCCCTTCTCAGAACTTGCACGCTCATTCACACCTGTGTCTCACACTCTCCCCCGCGTCCTCAGAAATCAGATATAAAAAGTAGACAGGGAAGCATTTGTTTTAAGTAGATTCGAGAACTCGGTAAAGAGGAATATGCTGGAGCGGTGCTTAGCGATTGCCGTGGTTCTGGCGTCGGTATCCTTGCAGGAATCCAGCTGCGGAAGCAACCCACAGCACTGGCAGTTCGGTAAGTTTCTTCTTCCTTTCTTTTTCATTAACTTCAATTTTTACCACAAAGTAAGGCTCATAAGGCCCACTCACAGGTTTTAGGTTACAATAGTGGACTGTGAAAACAGGTGAGTTTTGATAACTTAGATTTTAAAGTCTTGTTCTCAAAATATGTTCAATGCCATTGGAAATAGAAAGCAGCGGCATTGTTTTAATGTGAATCTTACTTAATGTACTTTGAAGGTTTACAATGATTGGGTAATGATGTATGAAGATTATGCTCGTAGCTCATTTTCACGAGTCGATGTTGAAAAAAATCGCAGTGTTAAGCTACATGAATGACAGTACTGACATTATTGGGCAAATTAGTACTAGTATCTTTCAATCTTTTAAGAATTGAAACCGCATCAATTCTGTTTCCCTGTTTGTTGGTAATTTTGTGAAATGGCTTTTTTTATCCTAAATAATCATTGTGGGATGGCAACACGTCTCAGTGCCGTTTTATATTGAAGTTGTCAAGGTTTAGCTTTGTGTCTTTCAATGTAAATGTACGGGGCAAATGTAATGATTGATACAAAATGATATCCGAGCAACTAACAAACCAATTTGAACGGTAGGATAGCTTGTTAGTGATCTTGAATGACTTATGAATGTAAAGGACGGAATAGACTATGCACTGACGAACATTTACGCTTGCTTGATTTCGCACAAATCTGTTCTTTATCAGTTTCACAATCTATGACAGTTATGTCATATTTTGATTAATCATGACATAAACGGAATGGAAATTGGTCGCTTTCGGTCGATATTCCTACTTACCTTCTGACAAATTACAGAAGTATCATATTCATATGCCATTAGACAACGGAAAGTATTAACATGTCGTATAACTGTACAACATCATCATTAGCATGGGCTTATAAAATCAACCAGGTGTTACTAGTATTACACTAAAATAGGTACTTACTATACTACTATATTACTAGTTGATGGAAAGGCAAAACCCTATACTTGCTAAAAAGGTCTTGTCATGATTTGCATCAACCTGCTTAATTCAATTAGAAAGTCAACCAATCATCTCGGTCAATTAGGTAGATTGGCAGGACCTCTGGTGACAAGGTTGTTCCCTAATAGCACCCCTCTAATGCATTACAGGATAATAGATAATTTGGCTGTCAAAGATCGAGCCTTAATTTTGATGGGAGGGTACTAGATTAAATTCTTTCAAAACGTATGCATGAAACATTGAGATCGCAGTTTTCTTTGAGGTACGTTTTTTACAGTAGAACAAGGCCTCACTTCTATATTGATACTTTTCAGCAATGTCTCTACTCAGAAAAATGCAAAAATCCTTTCTGGTTTAAAGGTTCTCTACATACGTTGGAATGTGAGTTTGGAGTATTGCAGTCGAGAACAGTAACATGCATGCAATAAGGGAATATAAATGTACAAGGACAGTGGGCAGATGATAGATAGATCGTATTCTCTTATCCTTCACCACGTTACGTCCCCGGCTGGTTTTGAGGAATGGGATCTGATAAACATCAGATGTTTTCGCGTGCAAATGAATGTATCCTCGTCCCTCAGGGTGTGACCTACATCTGTAATTCGTTCCCGCTAGCAATATAGCTAGTTAGTTCGCACCTGAACTGAAGGGCACCGTCAAGCAAGTTAAAATGATTTATTTCACTGTGACGGAAATGCTCAAACTTGCTCCAACACTAAGTAAATTGACTCTTGTCCAAATTTTTTGGCTCACTCCGTCAACTTTGATTTATTTCAATTGTGTAACCTGTAGAACTATACAGAGAGTCAAAATTGTATATCTGTGCAATACTATTAAAAGAAAATAAAATGTCAGCATTTTCTATCATTACTGTTTGTGTCCCAGGTGAAAAAATGGTCATGCCCGCTAGCTGAAACATCTCTAGGTTTTACCAAGAGAACCTCGTGCGCCAAGAATTAATATACACACTTATGAAAAAGAGACCATTGCCAGTTTTCAACTATTAGGAGAATATGAGAATAATCTATTCATACAGATGCCTACGCTTCTACTGTTCCAAAGTGTTACCATTTTCGATATATTTGGTAACATATTAAAGATCAATCCTGTTCTAATTATACAATACGGCAACATGGCAACATTTGTTTCCAACCACCCATTAAGATGGGGTTACAAACATCATAGGAGGGGTCAGGAGGAAAGTGGACGGTGCATCATCGGTTCGAGCATCGTAATGAAATAAATCAGACCAAATTTCATCTCATGCGAGTTAGCATACTTTAGAACACGTACGTAATGTAATTATCTTGATCGACAATTTTCGTAATGGTTTCTCAAAGGCCTTTCTGTATCTGGCAGGATCACATTTAGATCCCACTACTTTCGCTGCCTCCTGACCCCAAATTATCCATGATTTAGCAGTCAGAGATAGATTCCCCAAGAGTGCTATTTCTGTTGCTGCGCGGTGTTTCTATGTTCAATAACGACGGTTGACACCAAAGGAAAAATTGTATGTCAGAAAATCGATTGCGGAAATATCAGCGCGTTTATATTGTCATCACTAGCACCGATTTCTTAAGTCCCTTTCAACGCCAGCTCAACATCGAAGGTGCAATGTACTGTTATGATCACCTGGATAGATGGCAAAAATTGGGTTTGAAAAGCCATGAAGTATCATGGTTTCATCTCATCGACTAAGATATAAATCTACAGAATATTGCTTCAGTTACCTTGATCTTGATTTGACTGTATGGATGACCTCCGTACGCGCATAAATTTCGTCCGTTTCCAGAAAAGAAGGTTTCAACTATGCTGTAATTCGCAAAAGAAATACTGGAAAATGGTACTAATGTCGTAGAACATCAATTCCAAAGAAGAAAAGTAAAGAAATGAAGTGAACATGAAGAGTGTATCATTCGCCATAATACCATACGTGTGTTTAGTCATTTGTTCAATCTTCGTGGCCACGTACATTTCATAATGAGAGCGACTTCTCTTTCACGTTTTTTTTCAATTCATTTTATTCGCACCCTTGCATCGGTTTTGAGGATGAAATCTACATGGCCGTATTAAACACCGAGGCTCACCAGTAGGCATATATCGGAATTACGAGAGTAATTAAACATATAAGATAACATGCATCAATAAAGTGGCACTAATCATTTGACATTGATTTCAGATAACGTAAAGAGTATTGGTATCGAAATGTAGATTGATAACAATAAATGTAAAGTTTGATTGATTTTAACCTAGCTGCTTTGTACCATTATACTTACGATGATACATTTTATGACTGTAGGTAACGTCCCAACCCTGCTGTTAGATTGATACTGTAGAGAACAGTTTGCCGTCAGTCCCTATAGCGCTATCAGTAGGGGAAAATAAACAGCTTCCGTTTCTAAAATACTCTTGGCATCTTTATTACGCCCCATAGATATAACCGTAAATCTTTTGTTTCAAAATAATGGGAATGCAGCTTTTATTGTCTGTCAAAAGTCTCAATCACATCACACAAAGGAATATTCCAGACGTAAGACAATTGACGAAAATGGACCATTTCTCCTCCAAAGACTCAGCTGGACAGCTTTAAGGGCCAGCTAATGTCTTACACTTACAAAGAAAGATTTTAGATGTCAGACCATTGACCAATTGAAAGTAGTCATTTCTCTCCAAAGATTCACCAGGTCTTACTGGGCAGCTTCAGGGGTCATCTGTTATGTCTCACAATAACAGATGAGGACTTAAGACGTAAGCCAATTGACCAAAAATTTCTCTCCAAAGATGCAGTAGGACACGTTGGACAGCTTCAAGGCTCAGCTAATGCCTCACACTTACAAGGAAGACTTTAGACGCCAAACCAAAGATTTTGACCAAAAGTAGCCATTCACCCCCAACAGATTCACCAGGACATGCTGGACAGCTGTTCAGCTAATTAGGCTAATGTCTCACATTAACAAAGAAAGCTTTTATATGTCAGTCTATAAACCAAAAGTAGTCATTTCTCTCCAAAGATTCACCAGGTCTTACTGGGCAGCTTCAGGGCAGGGGTCATCTATCATGTCTCACAAGAACAAAGGAAGACTTTAGACGTAAGCCAATTGACGAAAAGTGGCCATGTCTCTCCACAGACTAAGTAGGACATGCTGGACAGCTTCAGGGGTCAGCTAATGTCTAACACTAACAAATGAAGGCTTTAGACGCCAGCCCATTGACCAAAAGTAGCCATTCATTCCCAAATGCTCACCAGGACTTGCTGGGCGTCTTCAGGTGGAAGAAAAACTTTAGATGTCAGTCCATTGACGAAACGTAGCCATTTCTCTCAAAAGGCTCACCAGGACTTAATAGACAGCTTCAGGGGTCAGCTAATATCTCACACTAACTAAGAAATATATTAGACGTCAGCCCATTGAGCAAAAGTAGCCATTCATCCACAAATGCTCACCAGCTCTTGCTGGACAGCTTCAAGTGGAAGAGAAACTTTAGATGTCAGTCCATTGACGAAACGTAGCCATTTCTTTCAAAAGGCTCACCAGGACTTAATAGACAGCTTCAGGGTCAGCTAATATCTCACACTAACAAAGAAAGATATTAGACGTCAGCCCATTGACCAAAAGTAGCCATTCATTCCCAAACACTCAGCAGAACTTACTGGACAGCTTCAGGGGTCATCTAATGGCTCACACTAACAAAGGAAGACTTTAGACGTCAGGCCATTGACTAAAAGTAGTCATTTATTCCCAAAGACTCAGTAGGACATGCTGGACAGCTTCAAGAGCCAGCTAATGAATAACACTAAAAAAGGAATATTTTAGATGTCCGTCCTTTGACGAAAAGTGGCAATTTCTCTCCAAAGATTCACCCAAAGATTCAAGGGTCAGCGAATGCCTCAATGTTTCAAAGAAAATGCGTTTCTGAGTGGTCTTACCCGCCGTTTCCGTGTGAACTTCATCTATTCTTCTATTGCTAATGTTACCCTACCAATCCTCGTTCCAGATCACAGTTCCTATTCCAGA